GATGGTCTTGTCGTTCTGGGCGCCGGGGAAGCCCCGCGTACACGACAAAACACGCATGTCGTGGCTGACGGCAACATTGTACACGAGGGTAGCGTAGCCTTCCTTGCCAACGTGCGACGAGCGTTCCGAATAAGGACACACCGTCCACTGAAGATGCGTCCCATCCATCGATCCCATGGCGCCCGTCATTCCAACCTCGTCATAGGTTTTCATGATCTCCTTCAGCTCGTCTTCGTTCGGCATCCTCACCCATACCGGAAAAAACTCACGCGCGAATCTCTCCGTGAACTTGTGGAACAGTTGGTTCACCGTGGCCTCGCCCATGCCGGTGACCTCCGAGACATCGTCGAAATAGTTTCCTCTGCCCAGTATGCGCAGCACTGCCAAAACATGACCGAAAAAATCACCAAACAACGGAGGTCAGGAACACGATTCGTGTGCGGACTTCATGTTGCGTCATCACAAGCGTCAACATACATACGTGCAAGGTATAGTCTACGATGTGTCCTTGGAGTGCATGGAAGTAGCGGCGGTTGAAAATATTCAAATATCCACGTCCAGTTTAGGAGCAACACTGATGTGAGCGACGAGCAGCTGTATGTAGCAGAGTTGCTGTCCGCGACTGGCAATAGCATTCATGACCACGGGCTCCCATCGATGTTTTGGACTATAATAGAGGGCTAAGGTGAGTAGCAACAACATCACGCTTGTGTTTCGGAAGGGATAGACTCCCGCTTGGTTTGTCGGGAGAGCAGCTTGCTGTTGAGGCACGCCGATACTTCCGTGGACGACTTTCGAGAGTTAAGGCGGGCAGTCTCCATACCATAGGAGCACCATACACGCAAGTAGAGGACTGCTTGGAATTTCTGGTGCTTGTAGGTGTGGAAGCGTGTGCGCAATGAAAGCTAATCCTCACCGCCGGCACAAACCCTCCGAGAGGACTGCTTGTGCTCTCTCCTCTCTTTCCAGGGTGTGCCGAGATGCAGGTGCACCGATCATGTGATTGATGCCACCACGGCGTGCGCGGGGAATGTTCGTGCTCGTTTGTTCATCTACATCTACATAGTCCTGGAGAGCACCACAACATACATTAGGCAAATCCCCACGCCCATCTCTAGGGTGCAGCGCGTGCTAGCTCACCTTTATTTCCACGGGGATGCAGCGCCTGGTGCCTCTCCCGCCGAGCTCGAATTCG